TTATCTAAAACAGCCTAATTTACAAACTAAAAAAAACCGGAGAGTTTTATAAAAAATAATCAGTGTTTTAAATGAATAATAAATAATAACTTTAATTTACGAAATGTGAAAATTTTGTTTAAAATTTAAAAATCGAAGGTAGTCTAGTAAAAGAATTTAGGAAAAATAGTTTTCTAAAGTTCTACTAAATCTCTCAAACATTATTTTAATCGCTACTTTCAGGATCATTTTCAGTGAATGTACTTGTGTTATCAGTTTCGTCATTGCCATTTAATAAATTATCTTGTTGATCTAGATTGTTGTCTACATTGGCATCCTCCTGTTGAGGTACCTTATTTTTAAAATTTAATTGACACTTAGAATTAGGGTAGCAACCCGACCCTTTGGGGCTGGTGCGTCGGGGATCGGGGTAGAGCCTTCGGGGTTCGGGTCGGGGGTTTCGGGGAATATTCAGTTATTGCTTCTATTTTTCGATCCCCTCGTAGGGTGTGCTTCTATTAGAGACTGTGCTTCAAATAGAGACTGTGCTTTTATTTTTCGATCTATTTTTCAAATTTTTAAAGAAAAATTTATATCCCACATAAGACAAAACAAAAATTAAATTTCAATAGAATTATCGCTTTCAATTCCATTTTCATTATCCTCATTGAGATCAATTTCTGCCAAAATTTCTGAAATTTCTTTATCGTCGCGTGCTTGTCGTAATAATGCTCGGCCGCTAGGGACCTGTCCTTCTGGCTTGAAACAATGAATTTCTCCATCTTCAGAACCATCACTTGGAATTCCAATACCACAAACTTTAAAAGATTTTATAACATTTTCTTTAGAAATTGCATCCCAAGCTTGCACTATCCATTCAAGGTAAACACTCATCGGGTGTGGTCGAGGTTTTCCGCCAGAAGTAAGTTCTTTCTGACCATGCATTAACCAATCATCATATAAACGTTGAATATGTTGTTTAAATGGTCCATTGAGACAAACGTCGCCCGGCTAAGAAATAATTCATTTTTAAGAAAAGAAGTCCTGAAAACTTGTAACCATTTCGTTGTTCCTCCTGGAATTAGTGCTGTGTGTACATTTAATTGTTTAAGCTCCTTTTTTGTAGAATCAGACAGGTGACAACGGAAACTGTCCCACACAAGTAGACGTGGCGAGAACAATGATTGGCCAATAACTGCTCTCAAATATTCAGTTGTCAGTGCATCATCCATCCAACTTTTACCGCACCATAAAAGAATGAGTTTCCCCTAGTAAAATAAGCAAGTAAATTTTTCTTAAATAAAAATCAAACAACCTTAAATTTTTCAACAATGGAGGAATCAGATCGCTTCCGAGGAAGGAGTACAAAAGGTGCACATTTATAACCATCATTTCTTACAGTCAACATGACAGTCACTCTAAGTTTTTCATATCCAAGATTTTTAACTGTCACATCCCTTGCACCCTTTTATGAAATGCAATTTCTGCCAACCAAATCCAACCAAACCGCTGTTTCATCAGCAGCATAAATGTGATCATATCTATAAAATAAATCCCTTCATTTTTAAAAAAAATTCTTCTTACTTAAATTCTTCCAAAATTTTTGAAATATACATAACGAAATTCACTAAAACTTGTTCATATTCTTTAGGGGCTTTTTGGCAGATACTTGTAGGCAGACGTAAGCAAAATTTATGGCGCTTCAAAAATTTTTGTAACCAACCATCACTGGCCTATGTAATTTTTCATAAAAAATAAGATTGTTTTTAAAAACCTTAAACTCAAGAAATTCGTCATCCGCATTAGCAAAAACTCTTTCCGGCTCTTTCTGAATCATTCTTCTACTGACTCTAAGCTTATCAGCTCGACATTGACGCACCCACAAAGCTAATTGTTCATCAAGTTCTACGTTTGTCAAATGACGACCAGCTCCAGCAAGTCTTTTCCTTCCCTTTCTGTAATTAAAAAGTTGCTAATAGTTATGTAATTGTTAGCTTACCGTGATTCTAAAAGTTCTGTCTCTTGTCCTCGCCATCGTATGATGCATTTTCTATTTATGTTGTAATGTTTAGAAGCAGACATATTGGAATGAGTTTTTGCGTATCCGATTATTTCTAATTTTTTATCGATAGAGTAAGATTTTCGTTTTCGACTACTGCGTTCAACTTCTACATTACTTGAACACTCGCCTACAACATCAATTTCTGAGCTAGAGGAATCCATTTGAACTAATAATATTAAATATAAATATAGAAAAGAAAAATGTAAACAAAAAAGTGCTATTTCAGTGTATATTAGGGGGTGTGCTTCTATTAGAGACTGTGCTTCAATTAGAGACTGTGCCTTTATTTTTCGATCCCCTCGTAGGGTGTGCCTCTATTAGAGACTGTGCTTCAAATAGATACTGTGCTTCTATTAGAGCATTTACGGTAAATAATTTAAATAATTTTGTTGACATTTTTAGAAAAAAAATAAATTTATTTTTTGTTAAAGTGTAAGATTTTTTTTGAAATTAGATAGAGTTTAGCTTGACCAGAACCAATTTTATTCAACTTTCTTTAACAATATTAATTAAAAATTACCGGAGAGGCATCGAACCTTCACCTAAAAAACAACAGTAACATAACCTCACACCTTTATTTAGTCAAGGCTATAAAAAATTTTAAATATGTATTAAATTCGGTTCTACTTGACTTTATGAGTCCAATCGAACTTTATGAGTCCAATCGAATTTTATGAGTCCAATCGAACTTTCTGAGTCCAATCAAAATTTATGAGTCCAAATAAAACTTTATGAGTCCAATCAAAGTTTATGAGTCCAAACAAAACTTTATGAGTCCAATCACATTTTATTAGATTTTATTAAATAATACATTTATTAAATAATACAATAAAAATGAATAGGCTTATGTTGTTAGACCTATGAAGTATAGGCGAGACGCTTGTGCAAAACCCCGCACTTCGCGCGGGGTTTTGCGGCACGCGCCTCGCGGGAGTCAACGGTCGCTGGGTTCTGGGTCGGCAACATAAACCTATCCCTTTTTTCATCACCAGCTTTGATCTGACGACCTACCCCCGTAGCTCACAAAAATCTGATTGGACTCATAAACTGTGACTGGAATCATAAACTGTAGTAGAACCACAATTTTTACTTAGAATAAAAAGACATGTCGGATTTATAAAATTTGTTTGGACTCATAAATTTTGATTGGACTCATAAAGTTTTGTTTGGACTCATAAATCTTGATTGGACTCATAAAGTTTTATTTGGACTCATAAAGTTTGATTGGACTCATAAAATTCGATTGGACTCATAAAGTTCGATTGGACTCATAAAGTCAAGTAGAACCTTAAATTCCAGTCCAAATCAATTTAGACGGCAAATCTAAATTTATCTAAAAACTAATTTTTTGTTTTCCAAAGTTGGGCGGGGTTCCATAACTTTTATCTTGTTCCAACCTACGCCCATCTACATAGGTTGGGACCTTTCGTTACACTATCCTATAAGATGAAAGTTCTAACAAATTTTTAAAAATTTCAGAAAAACGATTATAACCTTAAAGAAATTTATGTATACGCAAAGGTGAATGTAGGTTAGGAACTGTTAAGGAATTCATTCCAACTTTGGAGGACAAACAAAAATAGAATTTTTTGAAGTAAATTTAAATTCGCCGGTCAAATTTAATTAGGAATGCTACATATGTATATATTTTTTTAATTTTTAAGGAAAAATTAAATTTAAAATTAATTTATTAAGAGCCAATTAATTTAAATAGAGCCATTTAAATCTAAAACTCTTCCCTTAATTATACTACTTTTCCACTTCACAACTCCTCCTATCTTTTGCAATTTTCTCTCTTTATTCTGACTTCCTGTTTCGCTTCCACCTTCCTTCTTTTTTTAAATTTCTCTTATAAAATATTTCCTGGTTGCCATTGTTTAAAATTAAAAATTTTAAATTAATAAAATTGATTTTTGGAAAAATTTTATTTAAAAAATCAATCAATTTTAAAAATTTAAAATAAAAAATCAGGCAGCAAAGGATTTTTAAATAATAAAAGTTAAATTAAAAGTTTTTCTAGTTTTCGTAATTAAAATTAAATTAAAAGATTGCGAAGTTATTTTGTTGAGTAATTTTGAAGTTATTCTTGCAAGATAATCCCCCTCACCTACATACATATTATACAAAGTTTGGAATTCACATTTATTACAAACTACCAGTTTTTATCACTTATCTAACGGCTTATCAAACTACCAAAAATATGGTTGAATACTATAAATTATGTGTTTCATTAGCTCCACAACTTGCTCTTACCAAAAACTATTTTTAAATAACAAAATACGAAAAGCAGTTAAAAAAAGTGGTAGTTTGTAATAAATGCTTTGAAATTAAATGCTTAATGATGGAAAAAATGTTGAATAATATAATAAACGAAAGAGACAAAAAAAGTATTTAAAAGATGTTGAACATTTAGTTCAACATCCTTTAGCTAGTGCAAGAGGTTAATCGGCGGCCGGGAGCGAACCAGCATCTTCAGTAGACCGGATTGATGTCTTGCCATTACACCACGCCGCCTACTGCATAGACTTAGGAATTAAATAGCTATATGCTTTACATATACAAGACAAGCATATGTAATTAAAAGAATTTTTAATAAATTTATTTTAATAAATCTTAATTTATTTTATTAATTTTATTAATATAAATTTTATTAATGAATTTATAAATTTATTTTTAATAGATTTTTAATAATCTTTAATTAAATTTTTAACGTTTAGTAATTTTGTAGAAAATTTCATTTTTTTGACATCTAAATATATTTTATTAATTTTGTATAAAAAGTTATTTATTTCGGTTAAAAAAATTTAATATTATAAATAAATTTAAAAATTAAATTCTGAGTCATTAAAAATATGTTTAAAAAATATTTCAGTAATATTTTTAATAAAAAAATTTATTCAGTCACCATTCTTTCTCCGCCACAAAAATTTTAAAGAATTATGAATTTATTTATGCTAAAATGTTATTTAATTTTTTAATAATTTTTATTTTAAATTTATTTGTTTCTTCTAAAGTTGAAAAGAAAAATGAAATTAAATGTGGAATTTCGTCTTTAAATAATTTTAGTAGATTTGATTATTTGGTTAGTAAAAATAAATTTATAAAAAATCTTTTTAATCTTTTTTATACATAATTAAATTCCTAATAGGAGAACGGTCAAATTCAGAAATTTTCCAAGACTTAAGACGAGGATTGTTGTTTTCAAACCGAACAGAAAAATAGAAATTGTCGTTACGGGATCACCCCAGAATATCGAATGACCCTAAATAGCGCACCCTAAATATCGAGCCGGCTGTAGTTTAGTATATGCCCACCGAGATCGAAACTCAAGTTATATACCATTCGATTTGTCTCGCCGAGCTGAGTTCAAATATGCAAGAATTTTCTGCCGGAGACGAAAACTCGCAGAGATACAGGCCCCCGAAAATCGAAAAACCATAGGGGGGACCAAGCACTATTTTGGGGTGAAAAATTCGAATATGCAAATGATAGCTCATTCGAAAGAGCTCCTCGAGCTGAGTCGAATGACACCAAAATCAACAAAATCCGACTTGATTGGACAAAGTTGTGATCTTTTATTTAGCTCCTTACCTATGGCATCTGTGGAGATTTTTGCTGCTACGGAGGCCCCAAATACGTCCAGAGCAAGGGAGATAGGAATAGGTTTATGTTACGAGCCCAGACCCAGCACCCGTAGACTCCCCGCGAGGCGCGTGCCGCAAAACCCCGCGCGAAGCGCGGGGTTTTGCACAAGCGCCTCGCCGACGCCCCATAGGTTTAGGTTTTTTTGTTTTTTGTATCATAACTTTGTCTATTCTTGTTCAATCACGGTGATTTTGGTGTCATTTGACTCAGCTCGTCGAGCTCTTTCAAATGAGGTATTATTTGTATAAAAAATTTTTTATTCCAGAAATCGCCCCTTTGGATCTTCGATTTTTAGAGGTCTATATCTCGGTCCAATCAAGTCGGATTTTGTTGATTTTGGTGTCATTCGACTCAGCTCGACGAGCTCTTTCGAATGAGCTATCATTTGCATATTCGAATTTTTCACCCCAAAATAGTGCTTGGTCCCCCCTATGGTTTTTCGATTTTCGGGGGCCTGTATCTCTGCGAGTTTTCGTCTCCGGCAGAAAATTCCTGCATATTTGAACTCAGCTCGGTGAGAGGAATCGAATGGTATATATAACGATTTTCGATCTCGGTGGGCATATACTAAACCGACCCCATCGAGCCCAAAATATCGAATAACCCTAAATATCGACACCCTAAATATCGGCCCAAAATATCGAATGACCCTAAATATCGACACCCTAAATATCGAGCCCAAAATATCGAATGACCCTAAATATCGACACCCTAAATACCGAGCCCAAAATATCGAATGACCCTAAATATCGACACCCTAAATATCGACACCCTAAATATCGCACCCAAAATGTCGAATTACCCAAAATATCGAAAATTTTTAAATTTCATAATCGTTTATTTAAAGGATCGGGAATGTTGTTCCAACATCTGGGAAGTGTTTTAACTATAGAGAAGCGATCGAACTGATCATAGCGACCGATCAGTCTCCTATATTAACAAGACTTCTCCGTCCTTGGAATACACAATTATGAAATTAAAAATTTTTCGATATTTTGGGTAATTCGTCATTTTGGGTGTCGATATTTAGGGTCATCGATATTTTGGGCTTCGATATTTAGGGTGCGATATTTAGGGTGTCGATATTCTGGGGTGGAGTCGTCGTTACGGTTAGAAGAATTTGATGAATTCGACAATCCTACTCAAGACAATGACCAGAGAGTAGGCGTTGACCGCAGCACTCGAAACAAAAATTTTTTTGGTCTCACAAGGCAAATTTTTAATTAGTTTCTGAGGCGCTTTTGACTCCAAGACCAAAAAATCCAAGAAAAGTATTGCGTTAAAAAAACCAACTCTTAGACATCTCTATTATCCAATTGTAATTTTGACTTTATAATTTTTGAGATGCCAGATACACACAGACTTGTAGGGAGTTTAAAAACTGATCCACATGCCTGGCCATGGACTTGTCAATTAGTTGCTGTAAAAGGAGAAAATAAGAAAGATAATTCAACAACTATAGTACATAAATGTGGATGTGCTTTAATTGATAATGAATTTGTAGTTACTGCTGCACATTGTTTTGCTAAAAGGTTTTTTACAGAAGTTCGATTGGTCATATCGTGATCAACAAATAATCCAAGGAGTTCTTTTTGATTTTTCACCCGGAACCCGGAGCCAACACGGAGTGGCTCCGAAATCATCGGCTCCGGAGCCAAGAATTTGAAAACCCCAGGGCTGTAGCCATGTTTTGATAAATTTCAGGGTCGGAGCCACAGAATGCCCAATACCCACAAATGTTCAATAGCACTGACACTTTCCTTTTTCAGCAGAATTCCAAAAAGATTTAAAATATTATTGGGTGGACATGCAATTTACTCTGGATTACCACATAATGTTGTTAGTATTAGTATACATCCATTATATCAAATAGTGCATAGTGCTTATGATGTTGCTTTATTAAGGTATTTTTTGGATTCTTTTAAATAAATTTTATTTAATTTTATAAACCAGAATATCTCCATTAGCAATTTTTACTGATTCTATTTGGCCTATTTGTTTGCCATCAAAACCTCCAAAAAATAATGGTAGGTTTCTAGATTATCCTTTGTTTATTGGGTTTATGACTGGATCGCCTGTTTATTGTATATTTATGAATTGGTTCTCAATGAGACATTTGTTGGGGGCTAATTAAGCATTTGAGAGCGGATCAAAGTGGAGGTATCACTTCGAGAGAAGGAGACAAATTTTCCAATGATTAAACTAATACTAAATGATTTATTTAAAGGAATGTGTGTTGTAACTGGTTGGGGAAGGTTAAAAGAAGGCGGTGAACGGCCATTAACTTTAAGAGAAATTCATGTACCAATACTTTCAACAGCTACTTGTAATAATTTTAGACATTATTCTGGTAATCTAAGAGACAGAAATTTAAATTTGTGTTTAATTTAAAGGTAGAATGCACACAACATCAATGATTTGTGCAGGTTTTAATAATGGAAGAATAGATTCGTGTCAGGGGGATAGTGGAGGTCCTTTACAATGCCAAAATAAAAAAGGAGTTTGGGAATTACAAGTAATATGCGATAAAAATATTTTTCAAATAAAAATTTTAAAGGGAGTTGTTAGTTGGGGTATTGGATGTGCACAACCAAAATTTCCAGGAGTTTATACAAAGTAAATTTAAATAAAATAGAATAAAAAATATTTTTTTGTTTAATTAAAAGAATTTATGCAATGAAACCATGGATTCGAACAGAAATGAATAAATTACGTCCAAAAAAGAATTAGAAAAACTAATTGATATACATAAGCTGTAAAAAATTGAAATTCTCACTTTAAATTTTTATTTTATTTTTAATTTCATAAAAAATTTATCTAAAATAATTCTTAAAAATCTTTAAAAAACCTACTATAATGTATCCGATGATTAATATAAAACCAATCGACTTTACCCTTTTTCGGGCTTCTCAGTTCAAAATAATAAATTTTTTTTAATAAATATTAAAAGCTTAGGAAAATTTATTTAAATATAAATTAAATTAAATTCTTTAAATAAATTTAAGTTAAATTATTGCCAACGACAATTTACTTTAAATTGTTGTTGTAATTTGAAATGTAAACTCCTTATTTTCTTCATGATATTTCAAGGGACCCTCTTAATCCTGCCAAAATCCTTTTAGTCCCCAAATTCTCATCAAACTAATCCCTCAACATGCCTTGACATTTCGAGATTTGAAGGTCAAAAAGCACCTTCAATTTTCAGCGCCGCAGGAAAATGGACTGTCAAGGGTTGAGTGTCGAGTTGTACATACTTGTCTTTCTTCCATTGAAATAGAAATGACACGGAACAAAATACCAGACACTAACGCTCAACTCTCGACACGGATCCTATGTGGACGTGTGTAATCCAAATATAAAATCTTTTTTGTCTTTTACAACATATATAAGTAAAATAAAGATTTAATAATAATAAATATTAAAAAATAAAAAAAAATCATAATAAAATACGGAATGTTCTAATTAATAATAATATGTTTGTTCTTTAACGAGATCAACTTAAAATTTAATTACTAAATAATATTAATTGGATTTGTTGATTTCTTAGTGTTGCAAAAGCGTTGAACAAACTTTAAAAAAATAATTTTTTTAATTTATTTTTCTAATAATTACCCTCATTTTGTATATTTTTATTATTTCTTGTCCCATAAGGTAATTTAATAATATTATTATTATTTGTTGGAAATTTTGATTTATTTTTATTTAAATTATTAATAAATAAACGTCTTCTATTAATTGGTGGACCACAATAACTTAATAAAACTGGCAAGAGAATTAAACCTGAAAATTCGAAAATTTTTATAACAAAATAATTTTTAAAAATATTTCCAACCATGTGCAGCTCCAATTAAAACAATATTCAGATACATACGAAAATAATAAATTTTAAATATTTTTGAATGGGCAAAGGCTAGAACAAACTGAAAAAATATACAAATAATTTAATAAAAAATTAATATAATATTTATACAATATTAGCGCTTTTATTCAAGACTTTGGTCTGAGTCTTGACACTATCTTGGACTGAGACAAAGTTTTGGTAAAGAATGTTGGAAATAATTAATTTTAATATTATGTTAATTATAACCTTTCTTTACTAAATTTTAAATTAAAATCCAGATTTTTATTTATTTGTGTTGCAAAGAAAGCTTGATCTGTATAATAGACTCCGTTATAACAAGAATATACCGTATATGCTTGAATAATTACTCTGGTTAATTATTGTTTCAACATTTCGCTAGATGGGGCGATTATTTGAGAGAGGGTAATTATTCGAGCTTATACAGTACGGATGTTAATTTTATTTAGTAATTAAAAAACAAACAATTCCCCCAAGTTTTGTCATAGTAATTCCGCTAAAAACGGAACATCCAACAGAACAAAGACTATCAGATGCACGTTCTAAACGTGTAGGTTTCAAACTAAGAGTAAATGCTCGAACAATATGTGCACAAAATTCAACAGAAATTCCAACAGACTAAATATAATATTTAAATTCTTATTTAAATAAATTTTAAACAATTTAGAAATTTATTGAAAATATTTCCTCTAAGATAAAAACCCTTACACCTCACTTTTTTACCCATGCCCCGAAAAATTAACTAAAATTGTCCTGTCAGAAAAATTATTTTAAAAATCCAATATTTCAATAAAGTTAGGCTTAACCCCTGACAATTAAAACCACTAAAAATTAAGGTAAGACTCAATTTAAAAATATCATTTACCATAACAAGATTAACAACAGAAATTGCATTAAAGTCAATTGCCCACCACCACATAGATCCAACCATGTTTAACAAAATTAAAGCAATAACTATAACCTTTTTGAGGAATTTTTTTAGTTCAAAAATATTTTCAAAAAACTAACAACAATAAAAGCAGACCAAGGGTCCATTCCAAGCAATAAAGTATTTACACAAAATATGCATGCAAGGGATAATATAATCTTTTAATTTTTTGTTAGAAGGGTTAAAAATTTTGTTTTTTACCTGTAAAATAGCAGTTTTAACAATTCCTCTATATTGTTCATAAAATACATAAAAAGGACTGTAGGGAAAAATTTCAATATGTTTACGGTTTAATGAATTGAGTATTTGATTAATATCACGAGTTATATTTTGAGAAATTAATTGAGCACTTTCCATTGCCTTTGATTTAAAAAAATAATTTTTAATTAAGTTTCATATTCAAAATAAAATAAAATTACTAGATAAAAACAAATTTATGATATGCTTGTTAATTCGTTTCACTAACGGTGGGTTGGTTAAGCAATACCTCGATTGATAGATACACTTGATTTATTATGAGATTTCTAAGCCATAATTGTGTATCTACATGAGACAAAGATTTAAAACATAATGATCTTTTTTGAGTGGTCCCTGAACTCATTCTTAACATTGAGCCAAGGAAAAATCAAGTAGTCTGAAAAATGCCTTTGTCTTGACCCTGGATTCGAGAAAAATCAAGGTCTGGATCCAAATCCAGCTCGAATGAGATCCAACTACGGTCTTTAACTATTGCATAAAATATTCTCGAAAATAAAATAATTACCCGAATAAAATCCTCAGAAGAGGATAATTTTGTATGATATGTCATAAAATAAGAAGCCAAAACCCGTAATTTAAATTCATTTGTAGAATTTTGTTTTTCTTTTTTGGATAAATTTAAAGCAAAGCCATGTGTGGGATGTCCTCTAAATTAATTTTAAAATTTTTTTATTTTTTTGGAAAAATATTTACGCTCTAGGGCAATTCCTTGAAGGATTTTCTTCCAAAAAATTTGGGAGAAATTCGTAAAATCGATTAGAATCTGGTTGACCTTGTAATGGAGAGACTGTACAGTGATGGCAAATATTTGTGATATTTACTGAAATTTATGTAAATTTTTTTATTGAAATCTTATAGTTTAATTTAACTATTTGAAGGACAAAAAGTATTATTTGAGTTAAATTGTCTACAACAATATCCAACAGGTTTAAGCCAATCCAAATAATCATCCACCCAATTCATAGCAGGATGGGCAATATAGGACCTTGAACATTATTTATTATTTAAATTTTATTTTTGAAGGATAGATATAAGCTATTTTGAATATAACTAGAGCCCGGACTGGGAGCGCGCACGAGATTTGAGATCTATATCTCAAACAAATACTGAGTTTTATAACCGAAATTTTCGTTCGAGATCTTGCCACGGTCCAGGCTTTAATTACAACACAATATAACCAACAACTAAATAGTACCTTTCAGGAAATTTAGCAGCGCGGGCAATTTGGGCACCAAGGGAATTAGCTGAGCATCCACTTGATGAACAAACCTTATAAAAATTGATTATTTAATTAAATTTAAAATCAAACAAATATTTTTACTTGATTTCTAAGGATATAATCATGATAATCATATTCTCCTCTTAAAACAAAATAAATGGGAGGGCCAACAGCCAAATATTGCTCCATATTTAGAAAATGCGCAAGAACATAAGAATCCTAATTTTATTATTAATTAAAATCAGACATTCCTTTGGCTTGATAAATTATTTCTAATAATGAAGAGATGGAGGGTACCGTTTAGATACCTTCTACTACCCCATCACCGAATTAAAAATAACCGTATTTTAAATTTAGTCCAGTATTTGGGTGTATATTTCAGTGAGTCTCTATATCCTTATTATTTAAAAACTAGGAAAAGTTTATAATTTTCTTCTAGTTTATTTAGAAATTAACTAAAAAACTACTTCAGGAACAGCCATTTTCTGATCCAAACCAGCTTTAATTCTATTCATTATAGCCGATGAACTAGCTAACCATAAAGCAAAGAAAACAACCACAAAAATCCGTATATATTTATTTAGTAATGTTGGGGCATAAAATTGCCTCATTAAATGTTCCACCCGACTTTCTGTTGGTTGATCAAAATTTGAATTATTATTTAATTTTAAACAGCAACAAAATTCTGGACGGGAAGACTTTAAAAAATAATTTAAAAATAATTATTTTAATTAAATAGGTCACTTCTTGTCTTTTAATATCCCAAACAAAAACAGAAAGAAAAAAGGTTATTTGAAGTAAAAAATTGAGAAGAATAGCAACAGCAGCATAGAGAGAGAACATTTGGACGGCCGGCATTGAAGAAAGGGCTCCTTTAAATTTTAATTAGAGGATGTCTTTTAAATTGTAAAGCATATAGCTATTTGTTTCTTATGGCTATGCAGTAGGTAACGTGGTATAATGAATAACTGAAAATAAAGTTGATATGATCTAATGAAGATGCTGGTTCGCTCCCAGCCGCCGATTAATCTTTTGCACTAGCTAAAGGAGAGAAATAGCTATAGCCCAGCTGCTTTACTTAATTAAAATAATTACCCAAACTAAAACAAAAAAATTCGGAAAGGCTGGATAAAAGCATCGACGGCATTACATCAGCACAGATAATTGAAATCCGTTCAGGTAAAGGTTGATTAATATTATTAGCTAATCTCTTAAATTAATTTAAAAATAAATTATTTTAAATTCCAAATTTACTTGGTAAGAGTGAACAAAAATAAAAATATTATCAACGCCTACAGCCAAAACCAAAAATGGTTCAACTTCCAAAATAATTAAAGACTTAAATTGTGAATAATTTAAAAATTATTTTTCTTTCAAAACTTACAGCAGACATATTAAAAAAAGCAAAAAGTCCAATTGAACTTGAAACGGAGAGAATACAACCTTTTAATTAATTTTTTTTCATTTTTTAAAAATATTTTTAATTAACCAAAAATTCCAAATATTCCCAGAGTAAATTTTGAATGTATAAATGGCAAACACAATTCCCTCCCAAAACCTGAATAATGGCCAAGAGCAAAAGCAACATAAATAAACATGAACCTTTATAAACATAAGTAGGGTTGCCGTTTTCGAGTCGGGCCGACGGTCGAGGCATTTTTTTTCGGGCTTGTTTTTATCGAGTCGGGCCGGTACGAGTCTTTTTCGGGCCTAACTTTATCGAGTCGGGCCGATACGAGTCTTTTTCGGGCCTAAATTTATCGAGTCGGGCCGGTACGAGTCACTTTCGGGCCTGACTTTATCGAGTCGGGCATCGAGACATTTTCGAGTCTTTTTTTAAAAGATTTATTTAAAAATAATTAGTGGATTTGGAGGGATATCTGTGAATTAAAAGGTATATCGATGGATCAGGAGGGTAAAGGAAGGGCTGAAGAGAATTGAAATGGATATCAGTGGATTTGAGGGGTTAAGGTGATTTAAATTATCGGAGATTAAATTATCAACCCTAAACATAAGCTTTTTTAAAGGATAAATAAATTGCCTAAATGAATAACAAAAAAATTTTTGATAATGTTCTCAGAGATTATCAAAATAGTGGAATTTGTTATAGTAAAAGAGATGAATCCATCCTAAAAAATAGCAAAAAATTGGATAGGACCTAGTTAATCATAAGATCTCGTCGATTAAAGATTGTTAACCCAACACCTAACCATTAACAAAAGAGTAATTTTTTCATTTTGTTTTATTTTCTAAGCTCAGAGGAATTAGGGTTGGGGGCCCGATCTGGCCCCGGTCCAAAAGACCGAGTCGGGCATTGAATTTTAGCCCGAAAAAGATAAAACTGAGGCCCGAAAAAAAATGATTCGTAAAAAATGCGGCCTGACTCGAAAACCCCAACCCTAAGAGGAATTTTTGCATTTTTTCTGCAACACTTTATTAATGCTCAACCCTTCTAATAGGTTAAAAACAGATTTGATTAGATTTGGCCAGATCTCTCCATACTTTATCATTTTTTTTAATTTTCAAAAAAAACAAACATATAAGAAAGAAAAACAGTTAAAGCATCAGATTTACTTTGTCTAGCAATTTCATCTTCCAAAGAACGTTCAGCAATAAAAGTAACATTAAAAACCTCACTTTTATGAGATTTTAATAATTTAATAAATTTTTTCTCCCAAGCGAGTGCTAACGAATTTTTGTTTTTAAAACTTTAAAAAAATCAGAATTTAAAAATAAAAATCCCCCTTACTTTTCTTCATTATTCTTGTAATTATTAACTAACAAAGTAATTACTAATCCCCTCGCAGTTTCGTATTTCCCCGGCTCTTCAAAATCCCCTAGCACAACATAAGGCTGTACAGGGCCTCCAAACTGTCCCAAACAGGAAATTTGTAATTTACTAGACATTTGGTAAGGATTCTCTAAACAATCGAATAAATGGTCAATCTGTAAGGAAATAATTAGTTTTAGATTAAAATTGTAAATATTTACATAATCAAAAGTATTAAATGCGCTGTCATCCTCCAAATCAAGTTTTGTGATATTATTCTATTAATTTAGAAATTTAAGTTTGGAAAAAATGAATTTAAGTTTATTTCTCTCTGAATAAAATATTCTCTCTGATTTTGCAATCTACTTCTTAGGTGCATTCTATTAGAGAGAATCAAGTTTCCTTTCATATACCTCTTCATTCAAAAGAAGCTTATCAAATTTACTCAATAACCACCCTCAAATGATTATCCCCTCTTTAATAATTACCTTTCCCACTCCAGGCAGAGATAAAACAAATAATTTCCCCCTTAAGAATAATTATAAGTTCCCTTTCTAAAATAACCTCAAATAATTACTCCGTCTTAATTACCACCTCCTGGAAAAGATTGAAACAACACTTACTTACATACCTAGGGAATTATTTGAGTAAATACGGTATTATAAAATTAATTTAAGTTTACTTTTAGATTAATGTTTTTTAATCAAAATACCTGAAAATAATTAAAAATACTCATAACAACACAATGAGGATTTTGTGGCCATTGAGGCTTAAAACAAATATCAGACAAAGTTACTAATCTCTTATCATTATCTAAAGTTGTATTTAATTCCAAAATTTGTTTGTAAAGGCTAAAAGAAGCTTTCAAAAAATTTCTGAAAAATTAATTTTAAAGGAAGCTTATTAATTTAAAAAATCTTTACTTTCTAAAGACAGGTCCAATCCTAACTTTTTTAAGAAAATTCGAAGAATCTTCACGTTCCCAAAAAGTTTGATCTTTTGGTACAATAATAATTTGTTCAGTTCGATAGAAGGGGCTTTAATTAGTTTTTAAAATATTTTCTGATAATATTTAATACCCAAAATTATTATCAAAAAATTTCTTTTGTTCACGAGCATCACTTCCTGGGGAACTCCAAAGCTCTACAGGGTCAGTCGTTAAACTTAAAAAAATATTTTTTAAAATTATCTTGTCAAAACCGAATCATTCCAATTCCCGAAGAAGCTATTAAAGAAGGGATTAAACCAAGAAGGAAAATAATTAAAGGGTGACGGGCAACAAAATTTCCATATTTGGAACAATAATTAATGATATAATCTTCTAATTGAACTCGAGAGAATTTAACAGATTCTTTAGTTGAACGGGGGACAATATCAACAGCAATATCATCAACATCCTCTGAAGTATACATTCTCAGAATCTTTAAATTAAGATTTTAAAAGGGTTAATTTAATTTAGTACATAATGCAAAACAACAGCTAACATCACAACTCCAAACAAAATACAAGTTGCCATAATACTCATTGCTGTTGAACAATCCATTGTAGCCATTTTACAACTTTCCTATTTTGAAATAAAATAAACGAGATGGAAATTAAAAAAATATTAAATGGTTATTAAACAAATTTACTACAGATTTATTTTATTTATTTGCGTAAACCCCACGGGGCTGTATTTTTCAACTATCCTTCAGACTGAGGCTTTATGTATTAGAGAATGAAACTCTAATTGTGAATGGGGCTTTATTAGGAAAAATACGGTATTTATGAAATGTCTCCAAAGCTCGCCCCAAATTTAAAGTACAAGAAGAATAAGTAAAAACCTAATTTTCTAGTCAATCACAACTACAAAATCAACTAGTCATACATCCAATAGTATGTACAAAAAATAATTTTTTAAACAAATTTCAAAAATTATTATTGCAAACTCAGTTAATAACTCAATTACAACATGTTTGTTAAAAATAATACCTGAAATAAATATGGAAAGGGTGCTGAAGATGTACATGCAGACAAACAATCAACACAGGAACATGGGGAATCAGACAAATCAGAAGATTCATTACACTTGAATGTTGTTGTATTCATTGGCTTCAACAAACGTTGCTTTTGTTTTTGGTAAGGGGTAGTTGATAATATTTGGTTGTTTGGAGATATTATCTTTTAAATTAACGAATAAATTTCCTTCCAAAATTTATTTCATTTACCACATCAATAGTAAAAGGAATATTTAAAGCTTTATTGTAAGTCCCAATATATTTAAATAAACGTTCAGGAGTACAATTATCAATACTCGTTCCACAAAGAATACTCAAAACAAAATCCCCGGTTGTTGTCCGAACATTTTTACAAGAATCAAAAAATTGTTGAGCATATTTTGAAGTTATCTTTTTTTTTAAAGAGAAAAAATAATTTTAATAAAAAATATTCTTAAAAACTTACATAATATTCTACCCGAGAAATATATGCTTCATTATATATAGCTTTGCTATTGTTGAGCATTTCTGTTATCTTTATTTTAAAATTATTTTAATTTTTTTTCCAAAAATTTAATTATACTTTAACAAAATTAGCTTGAAAGGGAGAACAAGTAAATTGACAGAAAAAATTGGCAAAATTAGAATAACAAGAAGGGCAACGTTGCAACAACATTCTTGGTAAAGACATTTTGTTTCGGAGAATTTCAAACTTTAATTTTTGAATTTAAATAAAATTAAGAGAAAATATTTTGAAAATTGTTATATTTTCGATATTTTTATTTTTTAAAAATTATTTTTAATTTCAAATAAAAATATTCACACCTGAGCATGATTACAACATGTCGCAATATTTCCATCTTAATAATTTTATTTTTAATTTTTATATTTATTAACCTTTAAATAATTGTGGACACAAATCTCTATATTCCTTTTCAACATTTAAGGATATTGGAACTGGACGGCCTTCGTATCTATTTTTTAAAAATAATTAATTTAGCATACCGTATTTGCTCTAGTAATCCCCCAGGGGGCTATTGTTTCAACCCATCTCTAGAGTGGGGAATTATTAGAGACTGGGGAATTACTAGAGCAAATACGGTATACATAAGCATCTAAAAAATTTCAAAGGAGGAGACATAAAAGAGATATTCTCTTATTAACGAGCAGTGATCGGTCGGAATTCTGATTTCCGGCAGTTCCGAGTTCCGACACCTTTTTTGACCAACCCCTGTTAAGGAAGATGAATGGGGGTATTTTATTTAATTTACAATAAAATAAAAAAAAAATGATTTTTAAAAATAAAAACCGGCAATTTTGACGCAATTCACCATCTACCCCACAAATATCTCGCATAACACACCCCTGTTCTAGAGCAAATCTTTCATTATTTATTTCACTATTATTTATTTTTGTTGACAAAAACAATTTTTTATTTTCCCCATTTATTAATTTAAAAAATAAATTTAAAAAAATAAATAAAATAAAAGAATATTTTAATGTTGTTTTAAGGCTATTTTGTTTTGAAAAATAATTAATTTTATTTTGTTGTTTTTTATTTAGTAAAGATATGGTTGAGGATATTTGGGAAAAGTGCCCACAAATTTTAGGCATTTTCAACTTTAAAATAAATTGTAAAAAATAAAACTCGGTGGCCGAAATAAAATTTTTTCGAACCGAAACAAAATAAAAAATTTCTATTTCGTTTCGGAGCGAAACGAAATAAAAATTTTTTTCGGCCATCCTGGTTTGGATTCAGAGAATTGATATGATTATAGTTAGATATTATTCTGTCTTTTTTATTGGGATAAGTCCGTTTTAATAATGTTTAAACTCATAAATAAAATAATTGTCAGATACATGAATTTATGAGCAAAAAATAGTTAAAATAATTATAAATTTATATCCATGAGAAAATATTATAAAATGGAGATAAATTGAAAATTAAATTGTTGGTTATGGAATGAAACGAAAAATTTTTGGTAAGTTCCAGATATCAGCAGTTTTTCTATAATCCTTAATATATGGATAAAATTTTAAAAAGTTAGTAATTTATTTAAAATAAAAAATTAAGAACTAAAAATTAAAAAAATAGAAATTATTTAAGCATTATTTGTTTGCATTTACTTAACTATTTTTAAGGATTTATCATCATTTGATTCATATAAAAAATTCTTTCAAAAGAAAATGTGTAAATAAAATGAAAAATAAATAAAAAAATTTTTAAAAATCAAAAAAAAATTTTCTTCTTAAAAATACAAAAATTAATTTTTTAAAATAAATTTAAAAATAGAAAAAGAAATCCATTAAAAATTAAAAAGTAAAAAGAAATACTAAAAAATTGATTTTAAATTAGTAGCCGCCCTCTTTTTTAATTTAATTTTGGGATTTTTAAAAGCGTTGAGAGAAAGGAGAAAAAGTCTTCCTCCTCTCTCCCAATTACTTAGACGTTCTAAAATAGCCAAAAAAAAATTTTTTAATGCGTAATCGAACTTCTAAAACAAACAATAGAACAGATTGTTTGATTAATTATTCACAAAAAATTAAAACATCGACAGAAAATACTAAAAATTAAAATTCATGTGGGGATTAAATCAGTGTTTATAAGCTCGTACCAAAATCAGTATTCGTACTTAGGTACGAAATACGAGTACGAGCAAATCTGAAATTTATAAACACTGGATTAAATCCGTTTTTCATAAACAGACTTTAAATTCACCACCAATACACCACCTTATCGATATTTAGAACTTTAACACTTAACAACTAAATAAACCAAATACCCCCAAGACTCCACAACAGACAGCTATAGGCGTAGGAACAATCAGAAAATTGCTAATCACTATAGTAACACATACATGTTCTTTTCAAAGTTTGATAATAATTAGAATAATACAAAACATGGAAAATACAAAACATGGATAAAAGATACTTATAATTTAATTTCAGAAATTTATAATAAGAAATTGTTTTATTAAACACATAAATATTAGAAATAAATTTAGAGTAAGAGTTAATGTGCCATTCTACATACCTACAAAAATTCAATCCCAACCCATTGTTTTCTAATTCAAATTAAATGTAAACTTATAAACAGAAAAAAACTTTTTTAATTTTTATATCTAACAATTTTTTGTGAGAATTTTGGTATTTTTTGTAGCTATTTAAATAAAATAAATAAATTAAATATAAGGAAAAAACGAATTTTTTTATATATTCTTTTATTTTGTTTGTAAAGAAAGCTTTAATAATATATAATAAATACAAAAAGTTTTGAGGTGTTTAAAAGAGAAGAAAAAATATTGGTTGCCCAGGCAAACGTTTTTAAGACGAATAATAATTATATATTTTGTTAAAAAAAGATTATTAAAAAAAGAACGGGAAAAAGAAGCATTAAAGTTAAAATAATAATTGTTTTTTTTTGTTATTTTAAATTAGAAAAAAATTTACAAAAAATAGGGGAAGTGTGTGATCAAAAATTATAAATACAAACGTTTAGAACACAATTTGTTGAACCTGACAGACGTCTCCCCAAATATTTCCTTATGGACGGACTGGGCAAAAAGGATCATTTAATTTTATGCAGGTGCAAGTTGAGGAGGGGATTAATTTTTGGTATTTAACATTTACAGTAGAGTGCAAAAGTTTGGAACATTTTGTTATAAATTATTTAATCAACAATTTTTCGTTCATTTTTCAGTGAATGATCTGGATTAAAATTTTTAAGATTAACTATAAGTGTCCCCTAATAGAATAACCCTAGATGTTTCTAATTAGTTTCGAATGTTTTTATATTTTATCCTTATAATATTTTAAACTTAAAAATAGGGGGAGCAAAAGTTTGGAACATTTTTGATTTAACCACTTGGTATGGAAGAAAGAAAAAAGTCTGACCATTCTGTACATATTTAGGAAAAAACTTGGGGAGAAAAAAATGGGGTCTGTCAGGTTCAATATTAAAACACAATTCTTCTTTATAATTTTTAAAAATAATTAATTAAATAAATATATAGAGGTCGTTATTATTTTTCAATAAAAATTTAGTATTTATTTATTGCTACGTTACGAACGCGCTTTTCCTTTATTTTTTTATTCACCATCTTATTTTACTAGAGAAAAAGCCTTTCTTCTGGATGTGCAAACAAAAGAGTGTGGGAATTTAGTAAAAAAAATAAAAAATTTTATAAAAAAAATATTAAACTTTATTTAAAAATTTATTTTTTAAAATAAAATTATAATTTATACATAGCCAATTTTTCCATAAAAATTAAATTTTTATATGAAAATAAATAAAATAAATAAAATATTATTTAATTTTTAAATCCAAAACGTGTTTTTAAAAATTTTTTATTATTTTTAAAGTAAAATGGAAAATAAATAATATATTTTTGTTAATTCTTTCACTCCGCGCTTTTAAGGATTAAAATTTGTTGTTGCAAAATAATTGTTATAAATTACATATATTCCTAATTCCTTTAATATATAAGTATAATACATAACTACTAGCATTAGAATTAGAAAATGATTAATAATTTGAATGTCCGAACATTCAATTAAAGGAGAACATTCAAATAAAGTAAGGGAATATAAAATTTAAGTTTACAATTTGTTTAGGTTCACAGAATAAATTAGAAAAAAATTTTTTTAGAGTTTTTTAAGTTAGAATCTTGATAGAAAACTTTTGAAGGATTTGCAGATTTTTCGAGATAATTGATATCGACTATCAAAAACACAATTAGAATGGTACTCCTAAATCTGCACAATAAAAACAAAAAAAGCTAACATGTAAAGTGAAAAATAAATTCAAATAAAAATCCATTAACAACCTTACATAAAAATTTCAAGGTTATTAATACATATCTGTATATTCTAAAAAATATTTCCAAGTTTAAATAAATATGATCATTTCCTGTCAAGCGCAAATTTTGTAATTATAATGTACATATTATGTTTAAATAAATTTTAGTAGGTCATCAAAAGGATTATCATCTAATTTTTAGGTTAAGGAGTTGCTCGTATAAAATATTTTGAGGAATGAAAATATCATAAATAAATAAAAATATATAAAGATTTAATATCATCTTAACATAATTTTTAGAGATCGAAATTTTGTTCCATACAGTATTCCGTACCGCAATACCGTATAATACCGATACCGATAAATACCGATAAAATTCAAAATTTTACCGTTGCGTAAAACGGTACAGAATACCGAAAAATATCGATACCGAAAAATACCGGTCAACTTCAAAATTTTGTCGTACCGTATTAGTGCCGTACTACCGATACGGAATACCGATAAATACCGAAAAATACGGCCGTAGTACGGTACGGTCCCTAATAATTTTTATAAAGATATAAAATATATAAATATATAAATATATAAAATATATAAAGATATAAAATCTAATTAAATTTTAAAAGACAAATTAAAAATTTTTAGTAAAAATTAAAAGTTTTGAGTTCCAACAATAAAAATACTATTTATTAAATTTAAATAAAATTTTTATTTTAATGTTTTTATTTTTATAAAAAAACAACAAAAAAATACACATCATTTTTATATTTTATTCTTCTTAAGCCTTTCCAGCAATCGATGCGCTAAAGGGGGGGGGGGAGGTTTAGTTTAGTTTGTTTTTGTGTGTTCAGCTGCCGGACAACAAGAAAGAAAAGAGGCGATTTTTTTGGATTGAAAAGGGCGAGAGCGCAAAAATGAGGTTTAAATAAATAAATATTTAATGAAAATATTTATTTTAGTTAAGAAAAAGATTTAAATATTTATACATTCCCCGACGCGGATTTGAACCAAATTATGATGTTTCTAATGAGCTGTTTTTATATAAAGCTCGGGAAAATGAATTTTTCAATCTACAAAGAAACTTCTTAGTTTCTCCTTTTGAATGTTCTTTGGTCATTTTGCATTTCATTACATAAGAAAAAATAATTTTTAGTAAAATATTTTTATATTCAATTCCCAAGACTTATAAATATGTAGATGTTTTTTGCCTAATTTTTTTTATTTTACCGAAATAGTATAAGGGAGAAGAAATTAAAAAAAACGGAGAAAATGTAATTGAAAATTTTTATGCAAAAATGTCTGAATAACTACATTATATGGAGAATGGGTTTTAAATAAATTAAATAATTTAAATAAAAAATCTAAACAAAAAATATCTTTTCCATAAAAGTACGTTATTCAAAATTTTTTTTTGAAGCTTGGAGATAATCTAAAGGAATTAATTAAGGTATTTTTCAATAATATTTCCAGTATTTTCATCAAAATCAAATTCATATTTTTCTTCATTATTAAATGTAGGAAATATTTTCATTAACAATTTAAATTCTTTAAAATTCCTTTCATTTAATTTTCTCTTTTTCCCCTTACGCTTATCCTCATTAATATCATAATCTTCAATTGCCATACAAATAACAATTCCCTGCCGAAAATAACCAATTTCTTCTCTTTCTAGATCATTTAGTTGATTGAATATTTTCGATACACATTCTACTTTATCTTTAAAATATTTTTACTTTTGATCAGTTTATATGTGGGAGTTGATTTTTAAGGGAGGATTTCTAAGCCTTTTTAAAAAATTATTTGTTCAAAAATCCTCTGGGTTTGAAATTACACAGAAATTAATTGGCGTGTAGACTAGAGTTGGCCGGTATCGGGATCCCGAAAAAATCGGTATTTTGGAATGATGATACTGATAACGACCTCGGGATTGACTGAAACCGGTATCGGGATTTCACATTTTTTGCTAATAACGGAATATCGATACCGATCGGTATCTACATTGAAAAATTAGTATCCGAATTCAAAAAACCGGTATATAATAACGCCCGATACCGGTAGGGATCCGGATACCTGTCAACTCTAGCATAAACTGGACAAGAACCAAATTTTTTTCAATTAAAATATTGAACACAACGAAAGGATGCTGTTATTAATTATTAATATTTACTTAACAAAACTATCCAAATAACGAAATTAATACCTTTATTTGTCAAAATTAACTCAAATAGAAATTTATTATTAAATCCATTATTTTTACAATAATCTCTTCCAAATCTTTCAATTTTCAACAAATATTTTTTTGGTCTATTAAAATTCATTTTTCCACAAATTTCAATATTTGGATATTCATTAAATCCCAAAAATTGTTTTTGACGGTAAATCCCTTCTGGATCGACAAAAAGTTTTTTAAATTTATTTTTTTCATTTTTTCGATTAAATTTTGTAAAAAAATTCTTTAGTTTGTCTGAATTTAGAAAAGCTTCCAATTTTATTAATTCAAAATTTGTGTCATGAATTTTAAAAATTATAGAGCTTTTATTGTTTAAATAAACGGGATTTTGTTGATCATAATCTATAAAAATATTTTCTTGTCCAGTAAATTCCCATTGAATTATCGGATTAAATAGAGGAGTTATTTTAATTAATTGTTTATTTTCTCGTCCATGATTTTCTAATAAACATATTCTTATTCCGAGAGTAAATAGGATTGGATGATTGCCGGTTAACATGTAAAAATTATTAGATTCAGCTTAAAAAATAATTTTCTTTTTTTAATAACAAATTAATTTAGAATTTAATAAAAATTTAAAAGACGGCAAAGATGCTCGAACTTTTTGATTTTTGTTTTTCAAGATTCACATACTACATACTAGTGATGTTCGAGACTCTCGGTGTGACTCTCGATGCGATTCTTGGGTCGAGAAATTTCTCGGGTTTTTCAAGAAGATAATGTTGGATTTTGAGGGATATATGGGGATTTTAAGCGATTAATGTGAATAGCAGTGGATTAAGATGGATATCGAGGGATTTAGAGGGGGTAAGAGGATATTGTGTTTTGGAATTCAAGAAAGTTTGGGATATGAGTGATATCAAGGGATCTTTGGGGATTAGGATGGACATCAGGTGATATTCCTCTTAATCTCTAATATAAAATTCTCATAATTCAAGCCCCTCCCAAGACTCAAAATCAAAAGTTGCGAGATCTGTGGGACAGGTCCCAAAGGGTGGATTTTTGAAATTTTCTTGCTTGTTCAACACTGATAATTAAAAGTTTTTCTATTTTTCCTTTTTCTAATCCTTGACATTTTAACAAATTTTTTCATAATACATATTATCATGTCTTAAATTAATATTTATTGTAAAATTTTAATACCATCATCAACATCGCCATTGTAGTTTAGTAATGGTTCATAATTATTCCCTATACGATATGTGCAGTCTATTGAATAAGGGTGTAAAATAAGTATATTATTTTCAGTAGTATCATCTTTATAGGATATAATTGTTTCTAACTCAGTTAAATATTTAATTTCAATTCCATCAAGTTTTATGAGAGGATTTAAATTATTTTGATCAAATAATATATTATCATTATAAGTTTTAATATTTAATTTTTGTTTTGTTTCAATTTCAAAAGAAAATTTAATATAAAATAAAAAATAAATAAAATATATTAACATTTATAAAAAAATTTATCTAATAAAATGGGCTAAAAAATTAAAAAAATTGGCTAAAAAATTGGGCTAAAAAATTTATCTAATAAAAAATAGAGGTAAGATAAAAAGCGGACATTTATCTAGTAAAAAGGGCATTTATTTATTTAGTAGTAAATAGGGCATTTTCTATAGTCAAAAAAGGACACAATTTCTTAATTTTAATATTTCTTAATTTTCTTCGCATGAATTTTTATATTTTCACGTGAATCTTTAAAATATTTTGACTGTTATCTAGTTTATGTGTCAGGGTTCGGATTTGTACTTTTTAAAATTATTGTACTTTTAAATAGAGTTGCACGAGATCGAGATTTTAGAAAAAATCCGAGACCGAGATTGACCGAGACTCGCATGACCGAGACCGAGATCGAGATGCAAAATTTGACCCGAGACCGATATCGAGATCCGAGATAAACCGAGATTTTTCAAAACCTTTTTTATCCACTAAAACCCATTTAAATTAGGTGACCCAGAACGCTCGGGGGCGGGTATGTCGGTGTATGGGGTTTTCAAATTGTTTCGGGGCGGGGTTCGGGTCGGGGGAGCAAAACATGGTCGGGGTTTGGGTCAGGGTACGGGGGTTTACTGGAAAAATTTTTTAAAGAAAAAATGCTCTAAAAATAAGCTATTTTCGGTCTATTTTCGCTAATTTATTCAGAATTAATGAGAATAAGGTGGGATTAATTGTTTTGATTGATTTAAAATGTATATCTGGAAGGGTTTCACCGGAAATTTCGGTTTCGGTTCCGGTTTCATAAAGTTCGGCGTTTTTTGGTTCCGGTCCGGTTCTGGGATACGAACTCAAATTGGATCCGGTTCTGGTCAGAATTTCGGTTCCGGTGACAATATTTAAAAATAAGATTAACATTTTAAAATAACTCTTTTTTGTAAAGAAAAAATAAAACCAAACAAGTTCTGATTATTTGGATCCAGGTCCAATCCTATGTCCATGCAATTAAAGGCTAAACCCAACAACTAAGCCACTCAACCACAATCTTAACAGAGAGGGAGATCTTTCCCCCCAAAAATGAGAGAACCTGGTAAAGAACCTGGTAACCTTTCGCCGATTTGCTGCGGCGCGAGCATTCCAACTAAAGAGTAGTGGGAAGAGCTGACAGTTAACGGCAGCGCAGACTTTACTCTCTAACCATCGGGAAGGTTGATGTGTATTCGGCCGCGCCTATTTGTCCTGCTCCGCTCTCTAGACAACTAAATTAAAGTGAGCACAACAATATGCCAATAGCGAAATTTTAAATATTTTGTCAAAATAAAACTCAAGAAGGTCAATCTTTAGGGGTGTATACTGATCTCGGATCTCGGCGAGATTAAGTGCCGAGAATCTCGTCTCGGTTAGGTGGTAAACCGAGACCGAGATTGGAAAATGGCCGAGATACTCGTCTCGGTCGAGATATCGATCTCGTGCAACTCTACTTTTAAATCGACTCCCGTACTTACGAATTTGAATTTGTACTTTTTTAAAAGTATGTACCAGGGGTGAGCGCATTGCGTTATTTGCGTTAAATTTTGGCGTTGCGTTGCGTTTTGCGTTTTTTTCGTCGTAATTAAGCAAAAAAATGAAAAAAATATACCTAATCTGGTGACAAAATTGGATAACTCTAGCTTCTTTTCTTTCCAAAATTCTTAAAATTTTCGCTGTTTAGCCATCCTAAATTCTCAAAATTTTCGACTGCAGCGCTAAAAGTTGAGTATTTAATTTTATTAGCAAGTTTCCATCATGGAACGGCTCAGAAAAATGTCGGTTCAGTACTTTTAAATCAACATTTTGCTAACAAATTGAATTTAACCCTAAAATTCCCAAAATTTTCGCCAGCCGCTGAAAATGGAAGAAATTTGTTATTATATTTCATTTATTAAATTTATTTTTTGAAGATTTGAGCACAAATAAATATTTTCTAATTTAATTTGAAGTGTACTTTTTATTTGGAAATTTAGTCACTATGTACTTAGGTTGTAACATAAGTTTTGATACCCGAGCATGTTTTTCGATGAATACTTTATGGATATGAATGTTCTATATACCATTCGAAAGCTTAATTCGTATCTCGTTTGACATGTTTCAGCGTTTTTTAAAAAAATTTTAAAATTCTTAGATATACACTGATAAATGGGATATAGTCGGATATGCCAAATCCGGATCTGGCTATATAAATTTTTTACAAAATCGAGATTTTTGTACTTTTGATTGGCATTTTGTCGATCAGAACCCTGGAGAACCCTGGTCCAATCAAACTTAACAAGTAACCTATTCATAAATAAAATAGTTTCTTATTTCTGTATTTTTATAATCTTGTCACAAAATCCTATTTCCTCCTATTGTGGCTTCTGTAACTAAAATTTTTAAATTTTGGTTTTCTGTCTAATATTTTCTAAACAAACAAAATCGTTGAATTATGTAGTAGTCGCTAGTGAAATTAAATTTTTTCCGTTGAGTCTTAAAATCCTATTTTATTTCCTAATTTGGCTTTTTAACAATGTTCCCCTTTCACTTCTTTCAAAGTTACAAATAATTCTGTCCGACAAACGTTCAATACCGTGCCGAAAATAGCCGACTTATTTTCTTTCTATAGGTATCATTGAATCTTTTTGATACACATTCTACTTTATTTTTAAATTATTTTAACCCTTGACCAGTTTATTGTATTCAATCAAGCTGTTCGAAAATCACACTTTTCTCTAATTTTGAAATTTTAGAGGATACTATTTGGATATATAATAAATATTTTCATAAAATTTTAATCCAAAATGCAAATTTTATGCGGTATCACCACTTTTGCGCCTCTTAATACTCGTTTATTTAAAATTAAAAAAGCAATGTTTGAGTTAAAAAATTTTATCGAAAAGTTTTACAAAATAAATTTTTCGTTGTTTAAATATGTATTTAACATAAATTTAATTTTTAATTATTTTTATAATTTATTTTTAATCTTCTTTTGTTAATTTATGTATTAATTCTGAATGAATTTCTAATAAAACCTAAATATGTTGAAATTTAAAATTATTATTATTAGAAAAGTAAGATAACCAATAAATCTATTTGAGAAGCTCCTTTCATTTTGATTTGAGGCTATTTCTGCTCCAGATCTGTTTAAATTATGTTTTAAAATTATTATTAAATTTGAAAAAATTTGACATTTAAAAAAATTTATTTTACACAAAATATTTATTACTCCTCTAGCTAGCTTAAAAATAAACATTTAAAAATTAATCCTTTCAGGATCTCTAAGAAAAAATCTTTAGCGAGGTTTATTGTTATGTCCGTGGCTTGCCAAAGTAGACGAACACGCTTTCAAAGAATGTTTATCGCACGTAGAAATACAAGAGCAGGTTTTAGGTAGAATAAAAAAGAGTTAATAAGAAGGAACTATTCGTTTAGAGGCCCGCGTCCATATACAGAACACCTATAATCTACATATAATAAAGCTGAATTGGCTAGATCTTCCTCATTCAGCTAATGAAAATTGTTATTCGATGGCTGGATGCGAACCAGAATCCACCGGAATTAAGTATTATCCATTACATTACAGCGCCTTTAATTAGGAATTAGTATAAGCAAAATTTCTCGTACTAATTAAATATCTGCCAATTTTACTTGAACTAAATTGATTAAACTTAACTGGTTGTTATTTTCTGTTTGTCCTGGCAGATTTTGATTTCTAGTTCCATTGTGTTCATTTTGTCCATTTTCTTGTAAAGGTTCAGGGTCGTGAAGAATACCTCTACGGCAACTTGGACAAGTACTTATCTGTTATAATATACAGTGTATGGTAAAGAATATTTATATAAATTCACAATTGGTCCCCCATATTTTTCATAATCGTAGATATTAACAATTCTCATTTTAAGCCTGTAAATTTTTATTTTAAATTTTATATTTATGTAAACAATTAAGAAGTACTGTGTTTACGTATGAACCCGGGATCCGTCAACATAATTAACAATTTAAGAAAATTATTTATAAAAATTCTCATTCTATCCCGTTCCGATACACGAATTTT